AGATGAGCATGTGCTAGCAATAGACCCAGTTGTGTCCATCGCCAGATCGTTCTGGTGATGCAGCGGTATGGCAAAAAATGTGCTGTAAGGAGCTGACAGCAAAAGCCACCTGGAAATTGTCTCTGTGTCCAGATTGTTACCTGCTGCAACCCGCTGTGTTTCAAGCGGGAAGACTGCTGGCTTACTGCTCTGACGATTGTGTGAGGATAAATCCTTAAAGACTTCAAGGTGAGGGTGCTTAGGTGTTTCCCAGGGTGTCAAATCTTTGAATGAGTGATGCAAAGGAAAAAATTCCTGTCAGCTATGGGATTTAGGTTTTAATTATTTTTGTTTATTTGAGGGAAGTTTAACATTGCTACTGCTTTTTCCAAAAGGGAGAGCAAGGAATGCCATAAAGTGAATGCCTCTGCTTGCTGTGTAGTAGTCTAAATCAGTGTCTTCTGAAGAAAAGTTGCTTTCACTGTAGCTTGATACTCTTTACTGCTTTTTTTTTTTTTTTTTTTTTTACCCAAAGGGCTGAATTATACTCTTTATCTGTTTTCTGTTGGAATGGTCACTTGACGATCTTAGTCCAGGGGATAATGCCAGTTTGCAAGTAATTTAAATGGCATATGTGCTTGTACCTCTGCAAGGAGTTACTTCACGTTCTTTCCAAAAAAAGTACTAAATAGACCTTTTAATTTTTTTTTTAAATGTTTTGTGATAACACGATACCATCCTCACCATCTCCTGATCTTGTCTAACACAGCCATAGAATTTCATCTGATAATTTTTGTGGTGAAGGGCTTTATTCTTCATCTATAAGTAGGTATTATCAAACCCAGTTATTTGATGTTGAACTTTTTATGTTGGGAATCAATGTCTTTTTAAAGCTCAGCTGGATAGATTCTTAAGGCCATTAGAGGCCGTTTCTGGGGAAGTCTCAGCCAAATGATTGTGGCAGAGGCTAAAGAGGAACTGTGTGGTAATTTCTGCATTTATAACAAAGTCTCAAGAAGCCTACGGTTACCTAAGTTCATTTGCTTTACCCATATTTATTTTTTTTTAAACTTGGTTGCTAGCTACAAGTTACATCTGTTGGATTGTGTGTGCCGCTGCTGAACACATATAAGAACTATCTCCTGTCACCAAGCATCCTTTTCCTGTTTTAGCTATTTATAGACTGAGTGCCTAAGTTGTCTTTTGATCTTCTCTTTGATAAATAATCTGACCTGCTTAACTCTGGAAGAAATCTTAAAAACTTGAAGGTTTTTTTATAACTACTTAACTCCCTAGAATTTGGGGGAATTTTTTTAGCTTTGAGCTTGAGAGCTGAACAGTGTTACAGCAGTCTTCTCTCTCACAGTGATTCTGAAGTTAATGCTCTTTTCTTTACTTGCTCCTTTCTCAGTCCTTACCTTTTGTTTTTTTATTATTTCATCTGGTCACTTTTTTATTGTCTTGTCCAAAAAACTTTTCACCGTAATTTGCTCCTGTTCATATTTTTTTTCCAAATAGTCTGAAGCCTCAGGAGGCCTAAAACAGCAAGGCTGAGAGATGCATGCTGGGCGTTTTCTGATACGCTTGGAATTAAGAATATAGATCTTCTGCAAAGACTTCAACATTATTGTGTAAGGATGGAGATTTGAAAACGGTGTCTCTATTAGGATTGACACTCCGCTCCTCTAAATACCAGAGCAATGTTGTGAGCAGGGCACTGCATACTTCGCAGTTGCATGGCTGTGAACAACAGTACAGAATTATGACATTTAAAAAAGATTGGCAAATCTTTTGTTTGAATATGTTTCAGTAATAAGCCAGCTCTGAAGTGAAATCAAAACGTAAACAACGCTAAAGGGACTTCAAGATCTGGTGCCTTTTTTTGTTTTGTTTTTCTTGTCGACAATATGCGATGGAGGTGGCTCTGTGAGCTTCTCTGCAGCACAAGCTTTTCTGAGCAGGTCAGCCCAACTAGTGCTCATCTCCTTCAGACCTGAAGGAAAAGGAGAATGTCTTAATTTAAGCTAGTCAGCGGCCTTGCACTAACAAAGTTTCCCTAAAAACCCTGTGATTGATACCTCTGATCCTTGGACACGGTGGGACTTGGAACTGTAAGGCTGAAGCTTGTCTGTGGAGAGACAGGGATTTTCTTGCTTTGAAATCCAGAACAAGGAGCTGAGAATCAGCACAGATGCTGCTGTCTCCTGCTTAGAAACCTGGGTGTGCTCATCAAACACCAAAATTTAGCAAAACAGCATGCTGGCATATGTGATTCTCTCTGCTGGAGAGAGGATGTCAGGTAATGAACGGTTTTTAATTAAGTTGTGTACGTCCAGGAAAACGTGTTCTTGGAGTGCATTTTTACTTTACTGCTGTAATGATGGGTCCTGATACAAAGATAACAAAAAGAAAAAGAGGATTATTTCAGAAATAATTCTTACATGTCTTCTACTTGAGAAAATCCACCCTGGAAAATCTCAAGTAGGTACAAAGCTGAAAGCACAACATTGTAGGAATTTAGTAAGAAAGTAATTCTCACAGCTTGGGTAAGCTTACTAGTATGACTACAGCGTTTTAATCTGTTCTCATTTAGGTAAACTCCTAATCAGACTGCAGCTTCTGAATTTTTTAAGTAGGTCTTTGAAGTTTCTTATGTTCTCTGCCATAAAGGAGTCTGTTAAAGTATTTGTTCTCCTGCCCAGTAATTTCACCTGTAAGAACTCACAGTGAATGACTCCTAAGGAGGCAAAGCTATCCAATTTTGTGTCTTGGCAATTTTAGTTTTCTTAACTTAATTTTTCTGAGACTTAGGGGGAAAAATAATTCAGGTTTTGCCAACCCTCCATTATTGTACGTTAGAAACACCCATTGTCTTTTGGAGCTGGTTTTATTAACAACAACAGCAGAAAAGAAAGGGGAAAAACCCCCGAACTTCAAGGAAGTCTTTTCTGTCCTGGTCCCAGGGCTCCCGCATCAGGCGAGGAGGTGGCACGGACCGTGGGGTGGTGTCACCCAGCTGTGGGACGTTGTCTCGTAAGAGCAGTAAGTTTTGATGTAGAACGGGCAGCCGTTTTTCGCTATGGTTTTTGGAGCACAGGTGGGGCACTTTTTTGTAGCATGCCCCTCTTGTGCTTTCTTGGAGCCGGTGCTTTGTGGCCATTTGCCTGTCCCGTGGTGCAGCGGGGGAGAGGGCTGTGGGGCCGTCGGTCCCACCGCCGGCACGTCCCGGAGCAGCCGCACAGCCAGGTGTTTCTGCTTTGATAGAGAGGCTAAGAGGAAGAAAAGTTTCAGGTTGGAAGGAGCCTCTCAGTTAAACTAACCTATGTAAAGTGTTGTGTTGTCTTCTTCTTTAGCTAAAGCTTGATCTATAGATACTCAGACCAAAAATTAAAATACTGTTTATTTGAAATGCTCTGTCTTCTTAGCAACTCTCTTCTGTTTCCTTTAGGGTAAAACCGTTGAGAGTCTGACCTCCTCACAGGACTTTTGCCCAGACATGGAATTTTTTTGGCATTTGTTTATTTATCGAAGGGAGGACGCCGTGGTTTTTGCCGGTCTCTAATTTGAGAATAACTGTGGTTCTTGTGAAGGAGATTGAGCTGGGTGTAGGCAGGTGTTGGGCAAGTGTCCCGGCGCAGGTCTGCCAGCCAGCACTCCTGTCAGCCCAGTCCTTCCTCGTTTTTCGGCAGGGACCGCAAATTGCACAATATGGGTGTTTATTTATTCATTTACTTTAACAAAAACTCATATGCTCAGGCTTGAAGTAAGGTTTGGGCTGGGGTGTCAAGAAGCAACAGGCCCGTGGACCTTTCCGATGGTGGTGGTTTAAAGTTGTCGGCGAGCTCTCTCCATGCGTGGTGCGTTAGCTTTGTGGCGATGGCTTGGGGCGCAGGGTTGGTCTCTGAAGGTAGATAGGTAATCACTTCTGCCGGCTTCCTTCCCTTTGATTTGGATTTGGGGTTTTTTTTATCAGCTAAGCCCTTCTTTGGAGGCAAAACTGTTGTTTCTGTGGGGCTTTCGCCAGGAAACCATAATTAAGTAAGAGAAAGTGAGGAGGTTTTTCTGCCAGGCTGCTAAAAGAGCAGCAAGTGGGGGGATCACCAGCCCATCCCAGCTCTCTCTGCTCGTTCCCCTGCCGCACGCGGGGATGGCACAACTCCATGGGGATGACATGTGCCAGGCAGGGCCCTTCTTCTCTGGGATGCGGGTGCTCGAGCTTCAGAGCGTGTTCCTGCCCTCCTGGTTAGAGCTGAGGGCAATGCACAGCCACTCCTTTCACAGTAGGTGCATGGGTTTGCTCTGGTAAGTGGGGAAAAATAACTTGCAAAGCCCTATAGAAAACAAGAGACAGCTCGATTAGAGGTGTTACCTTGAAAATGAGGAATTTTTTACTCCACCGAGGAGGATGAGTAGGTCACTATACAAAAGTGGCAGATTGGGTTGTTCTTCACCCCACACTTTCTTCATAAAGTATCTTCTCGTTGCTGTTCTTGGTTCAAACCCCCATGCAGTGGCAGCAGACGGAGGTGCTGAAGGGTTTGGGGCCTCTCTGTCACTAACTACTCAAAGCGGATCTGGATGTCCTAGGGCATGAAACACTGGAGACTGCTGGGACCTTTTGACAGCCAGGTCTCCTGAAGACGGCCTGCTAGTAGTATATGTGCATAAGGGGTTGAAGACACATCGGCTCAAAACCGAGCATTAGAGATCATCCTTTCCTCTTTCTTTGGTGTATTTCTGGTGTGCAGCAGTAGGGGAAGAGAAATATTTCTCAACTCATAAAAGTAAGGAGGAGGATGTTAGTCCTAAAAGTCTTGTATACTAAAACCAAACTGGGTTCCAGTTTGACTGTTTCCCTTCTGTTATGGTGGAAGGGAAACTGCACACTTCCCACAACATAAGTAGTTCCCTGCTCTTCATCTTACTCATTTGTTTTTGTGTATAAAATAACATATAAAAAGTTATATGTATGTGTGTATACATATCTATATGTATGTATGTATTTTTTAACCAGGTGCAAAATGACTGCTCAAGTAACCCTGGAGGATGCCTTGTCCAATGTGGATCTCTTGGAGGAATTACCATTGCCAGATCAGCAACCATGTATCGAACCCCCGCCATCATCTCTGCTTTACCAGGTGTGTTATCATTGCAGGAAAAAGAATTTTTCCATTTCCCATTGCTGTTAAGAAAAAGTAGTATGTGCTTTTAAAAAAAAAAAACCCAAAACAAAACCCAAAGTGTGTTTATATTTGCAATATATGTAAGAATTCTTCTCCCTACCAAGGATAAAATTCTGCATTTTGCTTTCTCTGCAGCCAAACTTCAACACTAATTTTGAAGACAGAAATGCATTTGTCACTGGCATTGCAAGATACATTGAGCAAGCTACAGTCCATTCTAGTATGGTAAGTAGATGTTCAGATATACACTTTTGTGGTAACTTGGTATAAAAGGAGAGGAACATGTCTTCTTGCATTTCATTATAAGAATTGTGGTCACAGAAAACCAGAAACCTGCAACACTTCCAGGAGGCAGTGAGATGAAAAAGTGTGTGGCTTTTCTTTTTTCATACGTGTACTTCTTGATAATTTTAAAATGGTCTTTCTTCTTGATCAACCAATGCTGCTCAAAAGTTTCTTGCTTTCATTGTGCATTTTTCCAGTATTCTGAGGTGAGCAGCTTGTATTGACAGATAGCTGCTGTAACTTGAGTGAAAAATTACCTTCCATCCTCCCAAATTTCCACTATTTCTCTGTCAGTTTAGTGACGTTGAGGGTTTTTGTTGGCTTCCTCACTGTGGAGTGTGTATGTTAGTGGTTTATTGGCATGCTTTTGTGTAAGGTATTCTGTGGTTTTTAACAGTTCCACAACATAAGACAAGACTTCATACTAGTAACTCCATCCATCTCTGCTGATGGTGTTGCTGTTTTGGGATACAAAAGAACTTGCAGGCTGCAAACGCTGGTCTGTACTGAACTTGCCGTTTTTTCATGGCACTCTTGGAAAATGAAGAATAATATGTCTTGTAATTCTAGAAGCCAATTCACAAACAGTAGAATGGGCAGGTTAAGCACCTGATTACATGCTACTGAAAATTATGTAAATTTACACCAATCTACTCTTAAAATTACCTGGTGACTCCTTAGCCTGTTTTGATTGTTTGGATGTTGTAGGCCCTCTCCTTTGACATGTAAAAAAGGATATTGCTTTGGGTGTGCTGACTTTCATCCTTGACCATTCCACCTGCAGTACCCGAGTTTAAAAAGAAAAATAAACCCCCCACCCCTCTTCAGATTAGCATTTTTATTTATAGATCACAGTGTCTTTAGTTTTGGGAAGAAAGAACAACACAAAACCCAATCTGATCTGGGGAAATAATATTTTTTGTCATTAGGTAGGTATAATTGCTGCAGTTGTTGATTAGTGATCTGGTAGGTGTTTGTTGGCTTACGTGGTATGAAGATGGTGATGTTAATTCTCTCAGAATTAGGTTGGGTGCTAAAATAGATGACTGAGAATAAATGAAATTTTTTTTTAGCTGTTGGATTATAGCCAAGCTGGACATCAGTAGCTGGTCAGCGCTAATACATGTAAAATGCCAGCTGAGCCTATGCATTATGGTAATATTAGTTTACATACATACTGTATGATGTATTATTCAGCTTGCAATATATTTGTGTTTGTACATATACATTCTGATAAGATAAATAGGTTTGTTTGGACAAGGTTTTGGAATGATGGAAGACAGGTGGATTTAGCCCTTTTCTATTACAGTGCCTAATTATGCTGAGTGTCTTTCTTACAGAATGAAATGCTAGAAGAGGGTCAGGAATATGCAGTCATGTTATACACATGGAGAAGCTGTTCGAGAGCCATTCCTCAGGTAAAGGATGAAAATTAAACTGTCATGCATTGTGTGAACTTCTGTCTTGTTTTGATGTGGAGTTACATGGATATAGCTTTATCAAGGAGCTATGAAATGTAGTCTACTTTGACTCCCGAATAGGCAAGCTGGGCATGCCATAGTGTCTTTTAGCACTTGGGGACCAGTTAGTCTCTTTGTTCTGTTTTTTTTTGTTTGTTTGTTGTTGGTGTTTTTTTTTCTTTCGTAAAGGGAGCTGTAGCAATACCTCATGGGTTTTGTGTTAATCTTACTGATTGGTTCAAGAGTAATATAGGGGTAATGTGTTCTAGAAGGAAAATCTTTGTCAGATCTGTTTGAGGTAAAAATTTAATTAGTTTCATTCAAGAGAATGGACCCCCCCCAACTTAAGTATTAAGTTCAGAACAGGTTTAGCAGGTGGCATAGCATGTAATAATTACAATTCAGGTTAAACATTTAAGTTTCTAGACATCCTAGGTAGTAATATTCTGAATGTCAGAACTACACAGTGTTTTATTGATCTGTATGCAAACTAAAACGCTGTGAATAGGTGAGAAGTCCGTAGGCAGTCTCAAGTGTCTGGGAATGGTTGTACAGTGGTGGAGTGGGAAAGAATATTAAGATGCATCAGAAAACTGAACAAAATTGTAACCATGAGCTGACACCTGCCTGCTTTATAAAGAGTTTGTAATGCAATTATTTTTGTACTGAAATGCAAGGAAGGCTTATCCTGTGGTTTAAATATTTAGAGTGGAAATCAGGTAATCTGTTTTAATTTCTGGTTTTGGCCCTATTTAGTGCATGACTTTAAGCAAGTGGCTTAATAATGTGGAAAGAATATTGTCCTAACCATACAGAGGTGTTTGAAAACTAAATTATTTGCTGTGCTAATAGAGAGAAAAATATTAGTGTTTTGTTTTTTTTTTTTTAAACACACAGAGTTAATCTTAGAAGACTAGCATAAAATTACCAAAATCGGCAATTTATGCCGTAAGTTTGTCTCTTCAGGATGATAATACATTTTCTCAAGTTGTCATTGGGGTTCTTAGTTTCTGAGGCTTTACCAGGAAAAGTTCCAAGTGTAATGATCTCTTTAATTGTCTTCAGGTCAAGTGCAACGAGCAGCCTAACAGAGTAGAAATTTATGAGAAAACTGTCGAAGTTTTGGAGCCAGAAGTCACAAAACTGATGAATTTTATGTATTTTCAGGTAAAAGGAATGGAAACAAAATTTGTCAGTAGGCATGTATTTTTATATTCCTATTTTATATGCTTGATATTGTATGCTCAGATACTGAACCTAGTCATAGAATCATAGAATCATTAAGGTTGGAAGAGACCTCTAAGGTCATCGAGTCCAACCGTCAACCCAACACCACCATGCCCACTAAACCATGTCCCTAAGCGCCTCATCTACACGTCTTTTAAATACTTCCAGGGATGGTGACTCAGCCGCTTCCCTGGGCAGCCTGTTCCAAGGCCTGACCATTATACTTTGAAAAAAAAAAAACCATATTGTCTCACAGAAGGGCAGAATTTCTAATGCCTTTCTTAAAAACTTCAGGCGATCTCCATTAAGACTTTCAGCATAAAATCAAAGGTAATTGCATATGGTCCCTATGTAGTACATGGGGACAGTTCTGGCACTTTAGGAAGAAAGGAAATAGAAATATAATACGTTTCACATCTATACATAAAAGCATCTCGGCACAGAAACCATTTGTTGGGGGGTGAGGGATCCACAAGTCTGGACACCAGAGCAGCAGGTGCAACTTTGCAGCAGAAATTCGTAATTGAGGCAAGCTAACCCAGCTGTTGTGACCTGCCAGCCATCCGAGCTACACGGGCGCTGGAGAATAGCAGTCTGTCTTGCTTTCTCCTCCCGTGCTGGCAGCTTGCCATTTGGTTCAATGGACTGAGGATGCTTCCAGGCATTCGGAGGGAGCCAGAGCAGCTAGAGCCTGCGAGCCCCAGAGCACACAGGAAGAGGAGACTGAATGAAATGTAGTATTTCCTGTCGTCTTCCCCAACTGGTGAATCTTACTGACTACAAACAATCTCCTTTTGTTCAAGGAGATTAGTGCTCTAAACTCAGAATGGATTCCTCTCTACATTCGAAGTTGCTGTCTTTTTTGTACTTGTAATGTCCATCTCAAATGGCCCTGATGTGTGCTTGGAAATAAGCCCTCAAATAAACATGTGGCAGGGTGATTTTGTGAGTTGGCATGTACTGCTATTAATCAGTGTGCTGTGGTATTTTTTTGTTTGAAGAGAATATACCTATAATCTGCCTTTTAATGCATATACACTTTCTCGCTAAAGAAGATGAAATTACTTGTTTCAAAGGGATTTAATCTGCAAAGAAGAAGCTTGCCCCTTGTGCCAGGCAAGCTCTGTGGCAAAAATCACTGGTGACACTTGTAGCACACAGCAAGTACACAGAGGTGGAGCTGGAAAGTCTGTGCTGATGACTTGTTAGCCTTGCATGCTTTAAACATTTTTCTGCTTCAGTGGCACTTTTCATTGGACCCACTCCAGTTCCACGATGAAACTTTTTTCCTGGAAACGCCATGGCTTTTACTCCCGGTTTCTTCTCTTTTTTTCCCCATTAGAGAAACGCGATTGAACGATTTTGTGGGGAGGTGAGACGCTTGTGCCATGCGGAGAGGAGGAAGGACTTTGTGTCTGAAGCATATCTGATCACACTGGGCAAATTCATCAACATGTTTGCGGTATTGGATGAGCTGAAAAATATGAAGTGCAGCGTGAAGAATGACCATTCAGCCTACAAGCGGTAAGTGGCAAGGAGCAACAGGACCTGGGTTTCTGCTGCCAGGATACAGGCCTCCCAGGAGATGGCAGCAGTTGCTCTTTTTCTGATAGCTTTCTCTTCAAAAGTAGTCCCTTCATGCGTGGGACAGACTACCTTGAAACTAGGGATGCACTGACTGCAGTTAGGCAGTTGAATAAATCTATTTTCTTTATGCTGTTCTTCCAGCAGCAAAAGGTTCTTCTGCCCTTTAATGCCAAGCTGTCAAATACTTCTGTCTTGGTATACGCTAAACGTAATGAATATACTTTGCTCAATAAAGCTTTTCTTTTTAAGTTTGAGAGGAAACCAGCTTTCCGGTCGCTTGTGCCACTTCTATTCTGTTTTGTTCTATTCTATTGTGTTCTATTTTTGGCATCTACTTTTGACATTTGTAGCTCAGAGTTGTTACACTTGTACTTAAGACATTTCAGGGTTGTTGTGACCGTGGGTGTAGCAGGGAGGGGAAGAGGGTGGGATATCAGTGGCCAAGTTTTGTGCTTGAGCTGCCAGATGGTATTGGGTATCTTTAGTCGACCACAGTGGTCAGAGCAGCAGGGGAAGACAGTCTTTATGCCAGCTGTAGCATCTGTGGTCTTTCATACAGAAAACCATTCAGGCAATGACTAGCCAATTTTATCTATGCTGCTTCCACTTACATGAGATTTAATTTCTACCTTTACCAGTAGTTGCCTTTTGTAGTTGTTGTTGTGCCTGGAAACCTCTTAAACTTACTTGGTTTGTGTTTTTTTTTCTTTGGAGGCATGCTTCTGGAGAACAAACTCTGTTTTCTGGAAGGCTGACTTTTCCTGGGTTGTTGCGTGGCTTGGGTCTATAGAGCCACTGCTGTCCCCATCAGTTGAGGGATATCCCCAATGGTTTTTGGGCTAGGTTGGATTGGGTCTTTTAACTAGGGTGCAGCGGGAGATTTGGGATTGGAAAACAGGTCATTTGGGATAAACTAAATCCGTATCTTTCTTATAGTGAACTTTCACGTTTCTGTTCAGCTATTTTCCTAAAAAGCCTTCCCTTTACCTTTTATGAAACAGGCTGTTGACACAGATTTGTTGAGTCCATAGCCTGTGTTTTGATAACTCACTTTTATAAAGCTGTGGCAAAAAAAGTACTGGCTGTGTCTGCCAAGTTCTCTTTCTGCTTGATTCAGGAGTTTGGAGGTGGGAGATGCACTGAGGTTGACAATCCTGTACAAGCAGTGAATGATACACCATTGTACTGGCAGTTGAAGATGTGCTGACAACTCACAGTTCCCCTGGTAGATTTGGGGATGAGTGTGTTTTTATTGAGAGGGGACGGATTTGGTTACAAGCAGTCCTGCCAAAGGGACATACTGTTTTTTCTTCTGTTTTCAAAGAGCTGCTCAGTTCCTGCGGAAAATGGCAGATCCTCAGTCCATTCAAGAATCACAGAACCTCTCCATGTTCCTTGCCAATCACAACAAGATAACACAAGTAAGCTTTAATTGTCTTTTTGCAAAATACCTAATGCTTTACAAAACTATTAAAATAAAACTCTTCCAATTTGGTGTAACGGTTGTTCCCCCGGGAGTATAATTAGTTGACTAATATCCTTTTGTTCTTTTTTTTCCAGTCTTTACAGCAGCAGTTGGAGGTGATCGTTGGCTATGAAGAACTGCTTGCAGATATTGTAAATTTGTGTGTGGACTACTATGAGAACAAAATGTATCTAACGCCCAGTGAGAAACATATGCTTTTGAAAGTAAGTTTCTTTCTGGTACAAAATTAAAAAAGAATTGTTCAGGCAGGACCCGGATGTCTGAATTCCTGTTCTTTTTTGTTTTGCTTTTTTTTTTTAAATAACTCAAATTATTCCTTTTTTTTCCCATCTCCATTGTCTTTTTATTATATTGCATGCTAAATCTATTTAGAAAGTTTCTAATCCATTTTTGTTTTTCATAAATTGAAGTTGTCCCAATTGAACTGCAGCCTTGCTAGGAAACCAGTTCAATGGAATTGTGTTTCTATCAAGTATGACGACAGAAAGGAACTACTAAGTTTTATTTTTAGATATGTGGCAAATTTGTATAAAAAGCTTTTGGCGGTGGGGCTGTGTATCAAAGATTTCAGGGAACAAGTAGCTTAAAATTAGGATTAGTAAGTAGGTAAGTTTAGTTAGCTGGAATATGTACATGTAATAAGAGAGTGCTGGGCAATATGAAGTGTGGCTGATCTTATCAGCTGCATGTCTTGCAGTGGAAGAAAAGGCATAGGCTAAGAATTGAAAATTTGCCTCATGACAAATATTTTGAGTCACTTCAGTGTTTAGCTTCTGAAGAGCTCTGTTTATTAGGACCAAATGGAAGCATCCTGAAACATGAACTCTACAACATTTGCGTTCTGTCTGCAGGGATGTCCAACGTGTCTTTTGTATTTAGGCCTTTTGTTCGATAAATGTGTGCTTAGAACACATTGAGTGGCTAGTGCCCAGCTCCTGCTATTGTACATACTGAATTATAACTTTATGTTAATGAATAACTTGGACAAAATGTAATTAGATTTTTTTTTGGATGCTTCTGAGCTCTTGTGTGTATAATTCAGAGATATGCTGAAAGCCATAAAAAGCAATAGCTCAGAGATACTGGATCTAAAATTCTGTTACAGATCCGTTTGCATATACAGAATTTTAATAAAATGGAAGTGAAAAAAAACCTGTCTAAAAATAGCCAGACTCTAGTTTCAGTGAGATTTTTTTGTGTGCTAAACCTTCATATAAACAAGTACTATCTTTTAAGGATAACTGATCAGGCTAATGTTAATGTACAAACTACTAATACACATATAATAAAAGAATACTACTGAAATGTATGTATTTGAAAATACATTCTGTTTGGAGGAGGGTGGGTGTTTCAGGACTGTGGCTTTTTAAATATTACTTTTTTTTTTAATGATATGAAGAACGGTCTTACTGCAGCAGGTTTTTACCTCTGAGGTCCTTTTGCAGAGAGGTTTGGTTTTTTATTTTTCAGGTTATGGGCTTTGGACTGTACCTGATGGATGGAAGTGTCAGTAACATCTATAAGCTGGATGCAAAGAAAAGGATAAATTTAGCCAAGATAGACAAGTTCTTTAAGGTTAGTTAAGATGTGATCTTAATATGAGATTTAAAGGTAATTCCCCGTGCATTTTAAATATAATTAAAGAAAATAAAGATCACTTGGGACTATAATATGGGTAAATAATGGTTTCCTTTCACTAAGATTTGTGTTTAATAATTTATCTAATCTGATTTATTCCCTGTGTACAGCAGTTGCAGGTTGTCCCACTGTTTGGTGACATGCAAATTGAACTTGCAAGATACATTAAGACCAGTGCCCATTATGAGGAAAATAAGTCCAGGTAAAGGGGAGAAGGAAACAAAGAAGGGAGTGTCTGGGCTGGGGAAAGTCAGACCCTTGGAGTTATTTTCATAATCATCCGTTAGTCTGTGGGTCTGTGGTAATTACTTTAATAGGATTTTCACTTTGGTCTACTTTTTGGTGTGGGTATTTCATATTACTACATGTAATAGATACAACTAAAGAAACAAGTTGTTTAAAGACCTGTCTATGGTGCTGAGCTCATTCTTGCATCTGTAACGTTTCTTATCACCTGGGCTGGAGGAAATGAATTTTATCTTACACTAATTTCATTTTTATTTTTTCCTTTAAATATGAAACTTTCTTTAAAAGAAATGAAGGATTTTACTAAGCAAGGTGAGCAGTGCATGGGTAAATAGGCATGTGTATATTGTATATGGAGCAGCAACTTAGCTTGTCTCCCCCCTCTGTTTTTTTTTTGGCTAGGTGTGCAGCACAGCAAAATAGCTGGAAAATGCAGCCAGTTTTTACATAAATGGTTCCATGGTTTATGGTTATTGCTTTGTTTTAGTGAACGTTTCCATGCTCCTCCAAGACCTTCCCTCCATGCAGTTACATGAATTTAGAATGTAGTGCTTTGCATTTTAATTCCTGCAGAAAAAACACATAACCTGCATGTAATTGCTAAGAGAAAATCAACAGCAGTGGGCCTACTGAGCTACTAAAAATATGAGGCTACTTAACATGACATTCTTGGTAGCATGTCTTTTGTGTCCCTCTTGATAACATATTGATAGTATTTCATAATGCCTTTTTTTTATAGTTGAGAGCATACTGTAGGCTCTTCTTAGCTAAACAAGAATACAAAAAGCAATCTGAAGGTAGCTAGATGTATCTTGCAGCCTATACCTATACTTCTGCCCTGCCTTTCAATACTTTTTGGTCCCTAAGTGTATGCTCCTGAAGAGAGATGCTGGTTTGTATTTCATAGCAGTAGCCTTTAAAAAGTACAGAAAAGAAAAGAAAAAAGTTTTTTTTAAAGACTTGGAGGAAGTGCTGTTTGAACTCAGAAGGGCAATCCATCACTAGTGGATTGTGCAGGGTCAGAGGTAGAGGTGTGAGGAGAAGAAAGGCCTCAAATAGAGGAGAAGGAAGATGTTTTTTAAAAGGTCATGCATTGTGGTTCTTTCTTTGCAGTATTAGTTGTACTGTTTATTGCCTAAACTGATTTAGGTGAGTTTTTTTTGTCGTCTGAAACAGATGGACGTGCACGTCTTCCAGCAGCAGTCCTCAATACAATATATGTGAGCAGATGATCCAAATCAGAGACGACCATATGCGTTTCATTTCAGAACTGGCTCGTTACAGCAACAGTGAGGTGTGTGGGATTAGAGCTATTCATGGAAATTTCACGTCACTGATTAACAGTTTTTGTTAAATATCTGAAGAGCAGGTAAACCTCAGGCTAGGTAAATGACAAAGCTTGACCACCTGAATCAAGAAAAGCTGGCTGCAGGGCTAGTACCCAGTCTCTGCATGATATTTACACTATTTAAATTTAAAATAATAATGATACATCATACAAACAGTGGTATTTTTCTTCTTATCTATCTATCTATCTATCTATCTGTCTAGGATATATATCCTAGAACTTCTGGCATGTCTCTTTTCGAATAGGTTGTCTAGCCCTTACTCCAAATGGGTACTCATAGCAGTTTAAATGAAACGAAAAGTTAAGAGATTAGCTAACAAAAAAAAAAAAAAAAAAAAAAAACAAAAAACATAAAATATATAT